ATAGCATATAATATATGTAATAGTAACAACTTTGTTAAAAAAAAAAAAAAGAGAAATTGAATAAAACTTTTTATTTCGAATAAAAAGCGATACCCAATGGTGTAAGTGAAAACACTCGGAACATTTAGAATTTCCATTAGAGAAGGAAAAAACGACGGCCGAGGATAGCCTTCGAATCGAATTCAGCGGACACGTAAAGGGACGTCCCACGTCGATCTGCAGCAGCAAGCATCTACTCTACAGCGATACACTTTCCACCTTCTTTACATCCATCGAGGAAGGATTTTTCCGTCGACAGAAAGAAACTTCCTTCCTTTTGCGAAAGTTTTCACACTTACGTAAGTAAGTAAGTACGTACGTACGTACGTACGTACGTATGAAGAAGTAGTAACAGAAAGAGAACGGTGGTGGTGGTGATGGGTGGAGATGGGGATGGGGTTGGAGGTATGAGTGAGATGTTGTGGGGGAAGGGGGGAAGGTTAAGGGGGAGAATACACGCGCGCACACAATCTCCCACTTTAACCAGAGTGTCTCCTACAGTCGTTGGGCTTTTCATTCGGGTAGGAAGTGGTGCGATCTACGTTGACACCCTTAAAGGTGAATTTTCCTTAGGACGAGAAACGACGAATGAGAAAGAGAAAGAAAAAGAGAGAGAGAGAGAGCGAGCACGTGGAGAAAGAGAATCTTTATCTTATTTTTTCTTTTTTTTTTACTTTTTTTACTCTCTGTGTAGGTGGGACACTGGCAAAAGCGTCCTAACGATGCCAGCTGCGAACCGGAGGATATACTGGATAGAAAAGGGTGAGAAAGGAAAGACGGGTACCAGGGAGAAAGGAAAAGGAACCGTATTACCAAAGTGGACGTCGTCGACCTACCGTGTTCCAAACGTCTCTCTTTCTCCCTAGGGACGTCTCTTCCTCCATTTCTTTCTCCTTCTTCCTTTTCCTTTTCCTCTTCTTCTTCTTCTACTTCTTCTTCCTCTTCTTCCTGCTCTTCTTCTTCTTCTTCTTCTTCTTCAGCCCCGATTCCTCTCGAATACGGGACTTGTAATAGTGTGCAACATTGGACGCGCCAAAAGTCTGGCATCGTGCCCGGACATACAGCACCCTTCCTCCGTGACGAGCTTGTTAAATTTATCGAAAGCGTCAAATTAGGAGAGAAGCGGACTACTCGCAGATCTTCTTTTCCTCCCTCCCACCCTCCCCTTCCACCCTTTCTCCTCTTTTTCTTCTACGTTCGACCTCTTACCTCTCCATTCGTTGCATACAATCTCTCGATCGAACGACTGCTTCTTCTTCTTCTTCTTCTTCTTCTTCATCTTTTTCTTCTTCTTACAACTTTTCTATCTCTCTGTCTTTCCTTTTCTTTCTTTCTTTCTATCTATCTCTCTCACTCTAACACTCTTTATATCTCGTTTTCTCTTCTTGCTTTACCAGATTGGGTGGCGGAAACGTTCGATTTTGAGGAAATCGGCTATCTTCCCGCGCTCGAGGAGCAGCTATTTGAATAGCGCTTCGAATAGAAAATAATGGCAATCCTTGAATTCCCCTTTTTAGAACGAAAATGTGCGATCACGTAATTGGTTCGTTTTCTATCTATCTCTATCTATTTTCATGGATTTACTTATTATTCATTCTATATTTTCTACATATATATATATATAAGCGTTTATTCTTTTTCCAATCTGTCGTTTTCTTGACCCGTATTTTTCTTCTTTATTTCTTTTTTCTTTTTTTCACTCATGTAACGTTTCTTATCATTTGATTTTTTCCAAATAATGTTGATATGAGAGACCATTATCTTCTATTATTACGATTATCGTCCTACCAGCTGACGTATAAGTACATAAAATGTCCCTTTTATATCAATCTTTTTTATTTTCTTCTTCTCGGTTTCTTTCATTTTTATAGAAGTTGAACGATGATCTTGACCTTGATCAAATAACGTTAACGGATAAAGTGTCAAACGAAAAAAAATTTCGTCGCGGTAAAATTTGTCCGAAGTAATCCACGATTGTGGGATTTGTTTATTACTCGGACAGCTGACAACGTTTACGATCTTTAAAAACGTTCGCACAGAACTACTCATAAGAATAACAATAATGTTAATAAAAAAAAAACTGTCAGTGTCAACAACCATGAGTAAAATATACGCGAGAGAGAATAAAATCGACGCATGTAATCGGAGATTTAAAGTGTTTGACGTTGTGTATCCTCTTCTTTAATTATTTGAATTCCGTGGTTTTCAAGTTGGAAGCGGTTATGGTCGAGTGCCCCTTTAAATGCCTATTATATGGAAATGTATTATCGGATTTCTATAACAGCGGAAAAATTTTCCCAAGCATCGGCCGTACCCTGTAAAAACGTATCCTACCCTACCCTACCCTACTCTTCTACCCTTCCACCCTCCTACCCTCCTATTGCTCGTTTAATAGAATCCATAAAGTAGGAAAAATTTCAGAACGGACAATGGAAGTTTGGCCGAACGAACCGACGCGCTGCGCCCGCTGTCCGTGATGATTTATAATAATAATTAGTGCTACCCGCTCGTCCATCAATTTCGGTGTCGGTGTGTATTTTTAATGCGGATGGCCCTATTCCAGGTAACTCTGCACTGGTAGGTACTCTCTCTCTCTCTCTCTCTCTCTCTCTCTCTCTCTCTCTCTCTCTCTCTCTCTCTCTCTCTCTCTCTTTCTCTCTCTCATATATCACCGACAGTTTTGTGCAAGCTGTTACAAAGCGGTACTGCGAAATAAAATTTTTTTTAGCCCTCCATGGGAAAATCGCGTCGTAGTTTCGTTGTAGTAAACCCGGACAACGTGAGCCGCTCATTCTGCTTTTTCTTTTTTTTTTTTTTTATACGAACGCATTGCATATTTAAACTTCATCTGGTTATAACTCTAGCGCGAATGTCATGCAACCTTGTTGTCGTAGTCGTTGTCGTCGTCGTCATCGAGAGAATCGTGTTTACAATGCAACATTTAAGAATTTAACTTATCGATCTCTATTTCTCATTCCCCAAAAACACGAAAGTACAAGGATCACCTTTAACATATTTTTTCTTTATTACTCTCTTCGTTTATTAAGAAAAAAAGCGTAATCGATCGACCAATAACTCTTTCATATTTTCCAGGGGCTTGAAAATATCTCCTTGAAGAACTTCGAGAAACCTAATTTCTTTTCTTCCCCTTTTTCAAGAACATTTCTTATTGACGAGAAACATTAAAATTTCAAGCAATTCGTAGGATTGGTATAGCAGTACGCGAGGTACGACTCAAATGGGAAAGAATTACAAAAGGAATGTGCTACTACTAATGATGATTGCAATCATTAATAAAAATATAAGGTGCCGTATTGCGAGAACCGGCGAAAAGTTTTTCTAAAGTTAAACCCCCTACTACGAGGGGTTTCTTCTCTTTCTCTCTCGTCCATTACGATGGACGATTATTTTACGATGATAATTTTAGGGATGTATTTTGTACAAAACCATTAGCGATGTTAACGTACCTATTACAGTTTATCTATCGATAGATTTAATCGGTAACGTATAAACAAGAATATCATTAGTTCAAACAAAGCATGACCATAGATAGGTCTTTGTATGAATGATGTGAACGCGTTTTCTGATACCATGATGACTGATATTAAGGGAAATATGGAATGTACGCGTATGGATTTCAAAGGCTATTAAACAACGGGAACCTCTTTGTCGATACAAATGAAATTGTCACTTCTATTTTCCTATAATATTACCCTTTGTGACATAGACAATAAAATTTAGAAAGAAAAATCATAAGATTATTATAAACGTTTAATTTTGAAAATAATAATGTAAATAATGAATTAGTCGAAAAAGTCTCAATATTATTGTATACCATAAATTCGTGCGTTCATTGTGTTATTTAAGATAGTCCAATTTTTGAATGTCAATAAATTTACTCTATATGCAAGTGAGATATTAATTAAAAATTCACGAACATTTGACTCACCCTAATAATAATAATAATAATAATAATAATAATTTGAGTAAATTCTACCGTAGATATAACATACGATCCAAGTTCGTATATAGATATTAACAAAAATTCAGATAACCATCGTAAAATATTTTCTCGTTCATAAAGAGAAGAGAGAGATGGTAGAACAACGGTATTGTTTTGGATCTTATTCTCTAGTGGTCCTCCTAATGGAATTCATGAGAACAGCACGTCGCACCGATAAACGAGCAAGCACCATAACGACGGAATTGCCTAATAAGCGCTATTCGTGACAAATTGCTTGGCTCTCGATGCGAACGGTATTTTGGGAGATCGAAACCCATGGAGAGGAGAGGAAAGGAGAGGAGAGTGTAGAACGGAAGGAGGAAGTGAAGAGCTTGTTCTGGATTGGCTAGGGCTTGCCTGAGTTACGGATTGTTGTGTTACCAAACGCGAAGTAACATACATCACGCAGACCGGTCGTCGGGGATCGTTGCTGGAGACTGGAATGACGATAATTGATTTCCCTTCCTCCGTCCTAAACCTCACCCCACACCACCCTATTACCTTTCCTACGAAGCTCACTTGCATACGCATGAGATTGTACGCGCAATTGTTTCAAATTCTAAATAGCCCCTGGTCAACATTTTTTAACGAGAGAATTCTTTTAAATATATAGAATTTAAAATTGGATAATTCGTTGATCGTTGAAATCGATTAAATGATAGAAAAGAAAAAGGTGGTTCGATTGTTTCTACCATTTGTTTATAATGTTAATTTGTTAACGTAATATCCCCTTTCCTTTTTCTTTTTCTCCAACTTATACTTTTTCTTTCTTTTCTTTTTTCTTTTTTTTCTATAGGGGGTCAATATCTTAAAAGGACCCTTATACCAGTCAACCTGAAAGCACCATCCGTGGCAAACCACTATCAGATTCTAAAACCATCGACGCAAAATAATCCTTCTCTTACATTTGCTCGTCCATCTCTTTATTCTTTTTTTCTTTTTTTTTTTTTTYTTTTTCTTCCCCGGTCCATCATTCCACCTCTTCTTTTATTTCCTTTGGCCGATGTTCAACTTCACTAGAGAAAGTGTAAATCGATGATTTTAGCTTCAATTTCCAACTTATTCGTTGAGGCGTATAAAAGAAAAAAGGCAAAGGAAAAAGAGAAAAATATAAAAAAGCGAGTTTGATCCGACCCTTTCAAAACGTTTATAACGAAACGATGCTTTATACTCGACTTTATGAACTAGAAATTTTTGATGTCTAATAACACTTTACAGGAAATTATTATTCCCATAAGAGAGACTAATATTTTTATGTTTAGATAAGTTCGAAAAAAGAAACGAAATAATCAATCTATATTGTTTTTTTTTCGATGTCGATTATAAATTATAAGAATACCCTTTTTTTCATTTAATATTTTTCATTTCTATATCATACATTGTATTCTTATATTTTATTCATCGATATTATCGCTTAAAAGTTATGCATATATCGCGAGAAAATGCATCGGAAGTTTATCGATACGTTCTAAAAATAAGTTATTTTTCTTCTCTATTGTAAGAAAAAAAAAAGAAAAGAAAAAAAAACTACGTCTAACAACACCCGTACGAATCAACAAAACTACGATACAATACTTTGACGTAAAAATTGCTATGAGGAATAAAGTAAAAGGTATTGTCGAGTAAACGAGTATGAGTTTAAAAGCTTTCCTAAATTCCATGGATGCGATTAAAGACGATATTTTCAAGTTGTTGTCACTAAGGTAAACGCAGTAATCGAATTTCTTTTGCAAAAGAAATTACGAACTCGGGTAGTTCGAAATCATGGACAAACTTGAAACGTATTTAACCAATATTCCGAACCATTTCTCAAACGTATAAATAGTTAGTAACTAACTCGATGGTTTAATCGTTAATTAATAATATTATTACCGTAATAATCTTTTCATTAATTATGAATCTATCTATCGTGAAAAGAGAGAGAGAGAAAGAATAAAAAAGAAAGAAAAATAATTATTCCACGATTGTTAAATTTTTACGAGATCAGAAGAGAAGAGTATAATTGTAACGATAATACAGAAAATAAAAGAAAAGGTAAAAATATTCTATAACGTTTCGCAATTTGTTCAAATTTCTCAAACCGTCGGGCAACGTTATAACGCTCGAAAATGGTACAGTTAAATTAATAAATAATTATATCTGGAATTTGACGGGAGATATCCATGGTAGGAGTTTCATTACCCAGACGAGAGTAGTAGTACCTCTGGTACTCGCTTTCCTCACGCGGAGGGAGAATTTCCATTAATTGTAACCGGTTGATTCGCAATCGACCGACTTACCGCGTAAAAGCGATTTCCGTGGCTGCGGGCAGGCTGCCCACCCGACGAAGCACTTACCTGGAACAAAGGGAAACGATGAATTAATAACAACGGGCTGATTAATGCTACCAATAAATAATTAAACCCATTAAACGTTGAATTTCCCATCTTTTCTCTCTACTCTCATATAATATTAGGCAAAGTATAATGTGGTAGGAAGAGATACATTTATAAGAAAAAAAAAAGGAAAAAGAAAAAATAGAAAAATAAGACAAAAAAATAAAAAAACATCTCTAGTAAACCGATGAGACTATATTTTCGTAATGTCTAAACATCGGACGATAATTATTAACATGAATTGTTGTTCAAGATAGTCCTATCGCAATATCTTGAAATCCAAAGTTCGATGGTGGTATACCAGTAACAGCAAGTCTATGATAAATGACACTATTATTTTATAAATTGATGTTACACAAGCGATCTCGCTTCGTATTAGCATACCTGAATGTTAATTGGAAAGCAAGTGATCTTGCTACCTTCAAAATGCACGCCATACTCAAGTACGAGGTCAATTATATACGAAACTAGCAGAGGCGCATCGTTTATCAACATCAGTCTCTATAGTACATATAAGTATATATATATTCTATGATATGCAGCTAGAAGAACATTTTTTTTGTCATTTTATCTGCATTGGCAAATTGCGCAACTAAAACGCTACTATGAAAGCTGAGAGTATAAAATGGGAATACAAGAAAACACGCGTTTTTTTAAATATATATGCTCGACTATTTTGGTTTATTTTGTAACATTTGTATCACTGATAAATTAATTTGTATCGTCTAAGATATTAATAAGATTAATAATTTGTTGGCTTTTTCGAATAATCGATACTTGATTAAATATAATTCGTCGCAGAAATTAGTATTGGACTAGCGAAAGAACGATATTTTTTTTCGAGAAATTTTATAATTTGTTGAAAGGCAAAGGAAAGAAAAAAAGTAAAGAAGAAAAAGGAAGAAGAAAAAAGAATACTAGACTTTGTTGGAAGAGTTCTAGATCGTAAAGAATAAAGGGAAAAGTTTTTCAACGAGCAATCGTACTTTTTCAAGGTTTGCGTTGACGTGAATTTTTATACGGAGGGAGGAGGAGGGTAATATAGAGTTCTCGATTACGGCGAATTTCTCTATTGCGAAAAGATTGAGCTGAAGTTAGTTAGTTAATACAACGAAATAGCTTAATAAAATCTTTTGCAAATATTACTTAAGAAAATCTCGTCAGTTCAATACTAAATAAAAATTGCAAAAGTATGTAATGAGGTGAACATGTGAATTTGGGGAAAGGGTGTTAGTCATGTCGAGTAGTATCGGTATCAAAAATATTATAAAAAAAAATGTTGACCAGGGTAAAATTCATGAACATTCGTCTCGTATATTTTGACAACGTAACAGTGTCCAGTAAAATGACAATTAACATATAAGGAATAAACTACATCATTTCTTGCATCGAATAAAAAAAGGCATTTAAATAAAGAGAATAAGTGTATGAGAAAGGGTGAAAGAGAAAGAAGAATGATCGAGCGTACTTTCATCGGTATAAATGCTAGAACGTAACGTATAAAATACAAAATGAACGAGCATTCGATCGATATCGATACAAAGAAGGGCGTGTCTCTATCTTGCATTAAGAAAACAGTTTCTCGAAAAGATCGAACCGATGCACGTTAGTAACCACCATCATAGTGCAATGTAGCAACTCGGGTCACGAGAGGGCGCAACCCGACGCAGGTAGAATATTAAATGCAATTTAGAACATTAAAAACTGACAAAAATTCTTTTCAACTGAATCATTTGAGAATCGACATTTAACAATAGAAATTTTCTTAATATTTCAAGTGTTAGACGTTACTATGAATAGGAATTATTTGACCAATCGTTACGCTAAAGTCATGCGACTAATCAATAGGATTCGTGTGTTAACGTGAAATTCGTTAAGTAAGAAAAGCAAATTCGCGTTCAGTCTAAAGTTTGGGAGAGATTCGTTAAAGGGACACGTACCTAGAACGATTCAATCAGTTCGTAAAATACAAAAGTTCAGAAAGTAGGACGCATTTATTAAACGAGCTCGTACTTTACTCCAGTACTAGCAATTCGTATGATTTCATCGATGCTAAAAATCTTGTCGCCGAACTTTGGTTGCAGGTGGCTTTATCGACTGGTAATGATAACACGATGCTTAAATATACCATTTGATAGGAAAATACGAGGAATTGTGTGTAGTTTCGTTATTTAGACGTTGACACAACAATTGTAATAATAAAATTTCATCTATAAAATGACAGATGTTTTCTCTATCTACGTTATACTATCCAACATTTTCCTCATATTTTCATTTATTCAAAGTTCGTTTTTATATCTTAAGCACGAGATGCATAAGAACATAAATGCAAAGTTCTGTACTTATGAGAACTTTTTCTTAGTCCCTTAGGATAGACAAAGAAAAGCAAGTTCTATCTTTCGTAGTCCAATGCATCATAACAAAGTAACATAAAATGTTAGATGTTTTATTTTTTTTTTTTCTTTAAAAAATTTTGTAAAACATAAATGTAAGAGAAAACTTTCATAGTATGCCGTTAGTTGTTGAATTATTTTCATAGGTGATACATTTCGATCGCGATTTAGCGAAACAATATTCCGAAATTAGGATCGATTTTCAAAGCTTAAATCAATCGATACGGACGCGCGATAAATAGTTGAGGTGTGATACATATTTGTCGAGCAAATAATTGGATTAGTATACTCGACCGTGAGAGAGAGAGAGAGAGAGAGAGAGAGAGAGAGAGAATAGCATGATCGTACATGTCCTGTCAGGTAGAACGATATTTGCTGTTCGGATCGTACATACCTATGCAACCGTAGTACGATTACCAATGACAATCCGGAAATATCTAGGAAATAACCTTTGAGAGAGAGAGAGAGAGAGAGAGAGAGAGAGAATGGGGTTAACGTTTGAAATTCGTTTTGATGATAACTGCGAATTTAGCTAGAACGTTGACGTGACCCCCCAAAAAAAGCGCGAAAAAGAGGTTCAAAATCGTTGGAACCCACGCGACAAAACTCTAAGCTGGCTATATTTATTAAAGAAACGAAACGAAACTAAACGAACGTCGTAGACGATAAATCATTCGAAAGTACCACCTACTGTATCTACCCTTCTCGAGCAGCAGCATCGTTTGCTGATATACGAAGTAACGAGCGTCTTTCGCTAGCCCGCACAAAAGCGCTACGAAAAAAGGTAAGGACAATTTTTCACCGTTAGCAACACCTGCGCTAAATGAATACGAATTGATTCGAAGCTAAGCTAAGCCAGCCAGCTAGTTATTTTCATCGGACGCTAAACGTACGATACTTTTCTTTTATTTTTGCCATTCTTATCGCGATTTATTCATTTTAAACTAAAAAAAAAAAATACAGAAAAATACAAAAATAAGAACAAATTGTCGCGCGAACAAAATCGAACAATCGATTTAGCTTAAATATATACCTGTTTCGAGAAAATCTTTTATTTCTATTTTATGAAAAAACACCGGTTGTTGTGACCATAGATTTTCACTACTTCCATACTTTTTCGCATTTTATAAAAATTGAAATAGTTAAGATCAAATACGACAGGAGCAATTGATATCTTGAAATTAAAGAAGTTACCGTGCATAATATCACGATTAGGAGTGATTTTTTATCTCAAAGAAAAAGAACATACATACACACATATATACATTTCTATCGACGATATAACGCATCTTCCTTCGTTCTTGAAGAAAATCCATTAAAGGGTTAACACACGTGTAGAATTGGAGGTGCACGTACATTTAAACGATATCTCGTAAATCATGATCACGATGACGTACACATAAATGCCTCCTAATGTCCGAGTCTAGCCCGTGTAACGATTTGAAACCTAATGGCCGGTAGATTGCTAGACCGCGCCAAGAATATACGCGCTTACGTTTACCAGATATCGAGGGGTTGGTTTTCATCCCCTCGAGTGCGAAGGAGGATATAACCGAGAAACGGATGGATCCATCAATCTGAGTTGCCGCACTGCGAATTCCCTTGTCGTCAACGGATAAATATGACTGATGGGGATTGGTCAGAGACGCGCTAATGACATCAACTCGTCCTTTCCAAACAGGAAAAACATCCTTAAGCGGATGTGTTCGAGGATATAGTAATGGATATCAAAACTTGCCAAATTTTTCCACGACTGAAAAGGAAAAAAACATTTTTTTTTCACACGACGCGCAGTGTCGATTTGACCATGTAGAAATTTATTCGGTAATTTCTCGAACTTTGAGGTGGGTAAACTAACGTGGGTAGGAGAATATAAGATTGAAAAGCATTTTCCCCCACCTGACTTGCGGAAATTGAGCGTAAAATGGACCCGTCCGTTCTCGAGTAACCGGTTGATCGAAGAACGTAAAATTCGTGAGAAACTCTTGCCGAGTCTCGGAACGGTGAAACTAATTCCTCGGTAGTTAACGCGCGAAAGCACTGTGACCATCTTTCGTAGTTCTTCAAAGTTTCTATTGCGATTGTATTGAAAGGAAGAATCGCAGAAGTTCTGAACCCTTTTCGAAAAGATTTAAAACGGTGATGATAATAGTCTTCTGAAGTAATTATTGTCAAAATGAATAAAAAAAAAATTGCAAATTATTCCTTGAAATATATGTACATCTGAGAGACATCTGATTACAACAGTCGCGATTTTGTATTTGTGTAAAACTGGTCGTTGATGAGGGCCGGTTGCAAGAAAAAGAAGAGATTGGATGTGCCCCCGATAGTAGTAAGGGATTCGTCAAAGAACTCTATCAGGATGAAATTTTGACGAGGGAGAGGTGAGGAAGAAGGGCGAGGGCGTGTTCAAAAGACCCTTCCGGAGTAAGACAAACTTTTCGTAATGTTGCTGTGCGGTACGATCAAAGTCGGATGAAGTCAGGCAAAACAGCCATTGTTTCTTGATAATGCGTGGAAAGACGACCGGCAGCAGATCTTTCTCCGGTACTTCTCTCTCTCTCTCTCTCTCTCTCTCTCTCTCTCTTTCATAATGGAAAATGAAGGAGACGACGAAGGGATCTCTCTAGGACCAAGAGAACTTCTCATGTTCTACTAGAAGGAGAGAATCCAAAAGAGAGAAGGCTGTGCTGCTACTGGTGCTGGTGCTGGTGGTGCTGCTGCTGCCTACTTTGCACATTCATGAAGCGGTATCAAAGGCCGTCAAGATCACTGCGTCTGTGGGGTCGAACCGAAGGGAGTTGAACCAGAGCGTGTCCCGTGTGTTTGCGGTAACCCTAAAACGATCGATCACCGCCGCCAACCTTACGAGTTGGTGACCTAAGGATCGATGTCGTTCGCGAAGACCACCATTTCCCTTCATCACCCGCCCTAACTATTCTCCTTTAGACATAGAGCTACTACTATCATACATATACACTTGTATCATCACCGATACTCTTTACCGAGTCATGCAACCCCTTACCCTACGCCTCGCGTTTTCGAAGCTTTTTGATTAATAGCGCCTCAATAATTATGTTTGTCTTTGTTATTTTATCAAACCGATGTATCGACCCTTCTTCCTTATACAAGAACATCTCTCTCTCTTTCTCTCTCTTGTTCAAGTCATATTGTAACTCCAAGTAAAACAATGTCTGGTCTTCTTAATAAATTTAGGAACTTGCTTTTCCAAACAGAAATAAAACGCTTATCGTATTGCATATTAAATAACAGTGATTATTAAACAAATTTAAGGAAGATTTAAGAATCGTGTTAAACGACTAATCGGTACGCGATTGTGTTATATATTTATTAGGAATAAGATTTATTCGACATGAAAATAATAATATCTTATCACTCGTAAAAGAATTCTATCAAGTTTTACCAAGCCGAAGTTTCCAGGAAACGTTTACACTTTTTACTTTTAGTTTTCCTGTTTCTACTAGCTATTCGGTAGACTTTCTCGATGCTTGCCAGAAAGCATCCAACAAATTCGTATTTATCAAAAGAGACGACTCTACTGAGGAACAAAAAATGGTCCGCGTCAGACGGTCTTCGTAAGTTGGAAAGTTTGCATTTTAGCCGGGACTTATACCCGGCCCCGTTTCTCTTTAGTTTTTCTTAACCTTCAGGAAAAATCGTGAGAAACAAGGTTCGGTGTGCGATGAAAAGAATGGGGCGGGGAACAGGGGGGATATGGGGTAAGGGGGTAAGGGGGTTGGGGGGACGAAGGTAGAAGGCAAGCAGAGAAATGGTGAGACGGTGGGTGATGGCAGAAAAGGGGGACGGTGACGCGAAACATTTCTTCGATTTCTTAAGGGAGTAATGGAAGCCGATAAAAGGAAAGAAGAGAGGAAGAGAGGTGGTAGAGGAGGAAGGAAGGGGGAGGGAACAAGTTTTAAAAAGCTTCGAAAGGAGCCAGAGCGCCTTGACTCGAAAATGGCAGAGTTAATGCCACATCGGTCGAGCAACTTCCATTACTTACGGCTGACAAGGCCATATGTAAGGAAGAAGAACAGAAGAAGAAGAAGACAGACAGACAGACAATTGGCATTTTTGTGTATTTCCGATTTGCCTCTGACCTTATACCTCAGTCTCAATTCTACGAAGGTAAAAATATGCTAAATGTATATACCGCGATATATTGTCGTGGAATATATATTTACTCGATCGAAACGAATCCATTGGTGTGTATCAAATGAAAAACAATAGCTGAGAAGAAACGATCAACAAATAATCAGCACACTTTTTCTTCTTTGCCTAGTGTTAATGCAAAAAACAAAAAATCTCTTGTCTCTCGGTTGGTCAGAAGAGAAAAAGTAGTTCGATAAGAGATAGAAAAGAGAAGAGGGCAAAAGAGAGGGGTTGAAAAAGCTCGTAGAAATTGCAATCACGCTTAAAAGAAGAAGAAGAAGAAGACCGGTGGTGGTTGTACTTGCTGCTGCTGCTACTGTTACTACTGATGCTACTGTCCTGCTACTACTCTGGCAAAAAACAATGGCATTTTCGGACTTGAGATCTCGTCGGGACATGCGTTGGTTTTCGGAATGAAAGGGCCAGTTGGCAGAAAAGGACGTACGTAACCGGTAGAAGATACTCTGAGAGTTGAACGGAGGGTTTACCGAGCAGCCCGGAGGAGAACGGATGTGCAGATAAATGGACACAAAAATTCGGACAAAGCAAACCAGAGATACCGGGAATACCACGAGTGTTCTTTCGTCCTTTCCCCGATTATCATCCCCCGCTTGGTTTTCTCTTTTTCTTTTTCTTTTTCTTTTTCATTCGCTTACTCTTTCATCTTTCTCTTTCTCTTTCTCTTTCTCTTTCGTAGTTTAAGCTCGAATCCCGGACACGTCGAAGACGAAGGACCGAAAGAAACAAGGCGAAAGATTTTTCTCGAGATGACTGCGACAACAACGGGCGACAACAACGACGACGACGACGACGACGACGAATCATCTCGTCCTTTTCTTTTCCCTTTTCTCTTTTCTTTTTTAAGCTTCCTCTCTCTGAAAGACGCCTCGAACAAATGGCACATACCTTCCAGTGATAAAGTAGGTAATTACGCGAGATATGACGGGGAGTATTCTCTTCCCTTCTGTTTTATAACGTCAACTGTGGTGCGTAACTTTCTCGTTTATCTAATAAAATATTTCACGTTGGTCGTCTCAACAATTGATGAAATTCTCTCATTGGACTTGTTATTCTTAAACATATTTATTCTTTCTACTTTCTTAATTTCGTCAATTATTTTTCTTACGTTTAATAATTATGTAATCATATACATATATATCTCAGTAATAATATTCAAAATGTAAGAAAATTAAAAGGATATGTACACAAATGGTGTTGTTGTTGGTCCTACGTTTAATTACGTATATACGGTAGAATTTTAATCAAAAAACTAAATTGTATAATTTATTAAAATGGGATAAAAACAAAATCGAAGAAATGGAAAGAAAAACGGGAACGGAAACGGAAAGGGAAAAAGAGAAAAAATGAATCGCAAGAAGAACATAGACAATCCGAACGTGAAAAGAGCTATTGTATAAAGTCCCTTGTAATTTCCCGACAAAGGGCTATGAAAGCTAATCCGCACGGAGGAGAACACGGATGAATAGTCGGTTTTTACTTTCCAGAAACGTAATCTCGTCCTCTGACGCACGTCCCCATTCTTCGGCCAGCACACACATATGATTTAACATGTCATATCACATTCCCTTTTCTCGCTCCAACACACATTTCTACTCTCTTTCCTCTAACGCACATTACTCCTTGAACCTTACTTTACTTTCTGCTGCTTTTACGCCAGTCATTTCGCTCGAATTGTCCTTGCGTAAAATTTTCAAGTCGTCTAATTTTAACGAAGGAAGAAGAAGCAGCTTCCAAAATTCATTAACTCGGAGGAGGAGGAGGAGGAGGAAGAAAAAGAGCCGTCGAGTAGTAACTTTGCTCGAATGAAATTTTTGCCCTTCGTTCCCCATTTCGCGTGGTACGCTTTCTTTAAATTAGTCCCATCTTCGAAATTTATTAAATATCATCGCATTGTCATCGATTGACGCGAAAAAATAAACTTTCGTTATAATAATACAAAGGGGTAACAAACAAAGAAAAGAAAAAAATGATTGATCGTATGCGTGTGAACAAAATCAACTATTTATACGTTCGTATCTGAGAAATAGAAAACGATAAATGTTTTGCGTAAAACAATTTCTACGAAGACCATAGCATAAAATCTCACCGAACTGCCATAAATTTTAACCCGATGTCGTGATGCTGCTGTTGCTGCTGCTGGCTGACTGGCTGGGCTCTTCTTCCCATCAACTTCTTCCAAGCGCGTTTCTACTAAAAACCTCGAATCCTCTCGAGTTCCTCAAAGCTCCTTTTCTTTGCTCGAGAACGACAAGGTGGTGGTATTCGTGATAGCAGAGAATAAGAAGAAGAAAAAGAAGAAGGAGAAGAAGAAGAAGAAGAAGAAACCGATCGATCGTTCTATGATGTCTGGTTTGACTCAATCCCTCGAGATCAAGTACTGGATTTTGGATATAACTTAAAAGATATTACACTATGGAATCGTGCTATCGTAAAAGACAAATGTTTATATCGACCAACTATTAAAGTTACTTGACTGTTATATCAAAAAAGTAATCCTTTGATTAAAGTATAAGATTGAAACAATTAATACAATAAATATGTATGCACACGTACGCTTGCGACAAATTACATATACTTTTTTTAGAAAATAAAATCAATTATCTGAAATACGTGAGAAGTTTATTAACATATATTTTCAATGTCCTTCGACAAGTTCTATTTAAAGTTATCAAATGTGTGATTTATGATTGAATAATTCATCCCACGTTTTCGAAGTTAAAAATACACGAATCATTTTATAATGAAAAGAATCGTAAGGTAAGAGAGAACA